GGCAGATTCTGTCTTCCTGGAGGTCCTCCTATCTGCCTATGCTGCGTGCTGCTCACCGGGCGCTTGTCGCCCTCACCAAGAAGTCCTGGGTCGGATCTAGCCCGTCTCTGCCTCTCGTTCTCGGCTTTCCTAACGTCCCCGTCCATGGAGCCACGTCGGAAAGCTTTCCCTATTCCTTCCTCCAGTTTCCGGCCGGAGATGGACCCGAGATCATCGAGACGGACGTTATCATTGTTGGCAGCGGCTGTGGTGCCGGCGTGGCTGCGAAGAATCTCGCAGAGGCTGGCCATCGAGTCATCGTGGTAGAGAAGTCTTACTTCTTCCCTAATGACCACTACCCCATGTCCGGCTGTGAAGGTGCTTTCCATTTATTCAGCAACGGTGGAGCAGAGCTGTCGGACGATGGTTCGATAGGCGTCGTCTCTGGTTCGACTTGGGGCGGAGGCGGTACTATCAACTGGTCGGCGTCGCTGCAGACCCAGTCGATGGTACGGGAGGAATGGGCTAACTCTGGCTTGCCTCTATTCACGTCTTCTGCCTACCAGACCTCCCTTGACCGAGTCTGTGACTACATGGGTGTCTCCACTGACTTCATCCAGCAAAACCATGGAAACAGCGTGCTGATGGAGGGTGCTCGCAAGCTTGGATACTCTGCCAAAGCCGTACCCCAAAACACAGGCCATCAGAAGCACGCCTGCGGATACTGCGCCTTGGGATGTGCCGCCGGTATCAAACAGGGGCCCGCCGTTACTTTCTTGGCCGATGCAGCAAGAGCTGGAGCTACCTTTATCGAAGGCTTCAAGGCTGAAAAGGTGCTCTTTGGTAGGAAACTGGTCAAGGGCAAAAAGGTTGCCATCGGTGTTCGAGGGACGTGGACTTCTCGAGATGCCTCTGGAGCAACCCATGGTAAACCGGCCATAACCCGAAAGGTCGTCATCAAGGCGAAGAAGGTTGTGGTTTCATGTGGAACGCTTGAGAGTCCTCTGCTGCTTCTCCGTAGCGGACTCAAGAACCCGCAGATAGGCCGCAACCTTCACCTTCACCCAGGTACATGTCTCCCATCTCATCTAAAAAATAGTCTTCTGTACATTTTTCTAACTATACCACAGTTATCATTATCTCTGCCATGTTCGATCATGAAACTCGGCCATGGGAGGGCTCCATTTTGACATCCCTTGTTAGTGACTTCGAGAACCTCGACGGCTGTGGCCACGGCTCAAAGATTGAGGCAGTCGTCATGCTTCCAAACTTCTTCCTTCCCCTGATGGCATGGGAAAATGGCCTCGACTACAAGACCTTCGCCGCCAACGCTCGCCGAATGGCAGGTTTTATCAGTCTGACCCGCGATCGAGACACCGGAAGAGTATACCCTGACCCCAATGACGGAAGATGCCGCATCGAGTATACCCCTTCTGCCTTTGACCGCAAGCACATCCTGGAGGGCATCATCGGCGCCGCAAAAATCGCATACGTCTCCGGTGCCAGAGAGATAAGATCTTCATCGTTGGCTATCCCGACTTTCACCCGTCCGGAGACATCTTCTGATGCAGCGGATGAGGGTGTCAACAATGCCGCATTCCAGGAATGGATCAAGAAACTTCGTACGGGTGTCCCTCTGCCGACGGAACAGTCTATGTTCGCAAGTGCCCATCAAATGGGTACATGTCGCATGGGAATTTCCCCAAAGACAAGCGTCGTTGACCCTACTGGCATGGTCTGGGGCACTTCCGGTCTTTACGTCGCTGATGCCTCCGTCTTCCCAAGTGCCAGCGGCGTCAACCCCATGATAACCAACATGGCCATCACAGATGTCACAAGCCGTAAACTTGCCTCCATCATGAGCCATGATCCCGAAGTTATCAAGTCGCGGCTATAAAGCTCAGGATATAATGCCGCTACTGCTCAGAGGTTCTCCTCTTTCTTTCACCTATAACCAGTTCTTTTCTGAAGGAAGATCAGCTCTCTATTTTTCTTAGATGGGCCACGATGGGAGGATACATCCGTCATGTCTTAGCATACCAGAGCCAATGGAGTCCTGTAAACAATCCCTGTGTACGCAATACCTGCGTCTATCCTTAGCAGTTATTCGTTAGTTATACCTAGGCAAATGCACCCTTTTTTTAACTAGTTGTGAATATTCCCATCGGTATCAAAAAGCCTTCTTAGTAGATAATAAAGTAGATTTATATAATATATCGTTTTGAGAATAGAATTATATGCTCTCTATATAGTTAAGTATATTCACTAACTAGTTATAGTATTTTATATACCAGCCGGGGTAGGGTGGTGACCCGTCAACCACCAGCATGAATTGACACTTCTACGCAGTGTTAGTGACTAGTGATAACTATTATTCTTACCAAATCCAACACTGACTATCAGGTATCCCTCGTCAAACGTCAAATAGAGCGAACATCCCCTAAATTCGAGAGGCTTCTCCTGTAATAGCGA